ACACACACACACACACACACACACACACACACACACACACACACACACACACACACATAAAATTGCCTGAGCTTTCTTCAAGGATCTGTCTCTGTGGAGAGTAGTGATGTTATTTCATGGGACATTAGCAATTTTACTGCAAAGACTGACAATATGGTGTATCGTTTTTTTGTTTTTCTCTGTCAATATCTCATACCCGCAAATAAAAGAAAAAGTAAGAAGAGATTCAATAAAACAGCAATAAAACATTCTCATAAAACTAGTCCATGTTAAAACTCCTTCATTTACTATAAAAGTGCATACGTTGATGGGCTTTCTTACATACAGTGTCCACATGTTTGTCAAAAGAGAGTTTGTATATTCCTCCACAACATCAACTTGTTGACCATTAATGTACACAGGAGTGATGGAGTTTTTGTTTTTCCTGAAGTCAATAATCATTTCTTTGGTTTTGTTGACGTTTATGTCTAGAAAGGATTACTTGCACCAGTTAATAAAATGTGACACCACTGGGCCATGATCAGGGTCATCTGACTTTAAAAGAGACACAATGAGGGAATCGTCAGCAAACTTTAAAATATTCACACAATGGTCTATAAAACTATCTCATATTTCACCTAAGAAAAGACTATATGATGTGCAGTGTTTTTAAAAAGTCAGTGGTAAACAACCCCAATAAATTTCTTCAATTTGAAAGTAAGATCTCCAACTACTTCATGACAACGTGCATTTTCAGTTTGACCAATACGACTCCGTCGTTTCTCAAAATAAATTGATCTGAGTTTAAAGTGCTGGTATGAAAAGCAGCAAGTCAAACGCTCTGCCATTTTGATTCAGAATAGCTGTTTTATGTTCAACATCAGTCTGAAAATAACAAAAGTGTCTGAAAACAAAAAAGTTTGTGTCAGACAAAGGTTTTATTTTAATCAGCGTCACCAAGAGTACCAGGCAATGAGCTCTGATGACTGAACTGTCACATCTTTGTTTCCCTTACAACAAAAACAGAGCTTCCTCTGTGCAGAGATCAACACTGACAAAGGCTCAGTCAGCAGGAAACAAAACTGTATTTTTAGGTTTTGAATAAACACATCAAACTCATAAACTCACTGCCCTTCTACAGCTGCTTTAAATAAACTCAGTGTGCAACACACACATTGCAAGATGCCATTATAGTGACAACAATCGTGCAAATGACAGTCAAATTGGAGGGCCACTATCATCAACTGTGCTGTGAAACACCCCCCCCCCAAAAAAAATTCACTACATTTTCATCTTGTTTATTTCTTTTATACAGCACTAACTCCCAACAAAAATTCTTTCAGGGCATTATGTAAAGAAAAATAAAAAATCATAAATCAAATTAGTCAAAACCAGATCCAGAAGTGTCAGCCTCATGGACAGAAACTGGAGTTTGGTTCCACAAGAGAGGAGCTTGATATCTGAAAGCTCTGCCTCCCATTCAGTGAGTTTCTACCCAAGCCGAGCAGTGCTGTGAAATGTGACGTCATATCACTGTCGGTCACTGATTGGTTGAGGGGTGGAGTCACTAGCAACAACAACTCAAAGTGCCATTATTTCTTAGTGGTGGACCAACATTTGATACTCAAAGATGGCAGCACAGAAACCCACACCGTGGTTCAATGCTGAGGTGCAGGAGTTTTTGTGCTCTGTGGCAGAGGACAAAATTCAGAGCGAGCTAGATGGGTCGACTCGCAATGAAAAAGTAAGGGGATCTCGGAGCTGGAGTCCTTGATGGACAATGGTGAGTGTTATTTTTTGCTGTATTTTATTTAATTCCTTCGGTGGTGTGTGTATTTTGAACAAACGGCAAACATTGACGCGTTTGGTTTAGATTGTGCAGACTTCATTTCTCCAGATGCAGTAGGGCAGCTGCTAGCATCAATGCTAACTGTGATTTGGACTGTGGACTGTACTTATATAGCGCCTTTCTATCCATCCAGGAGACACAAAGCGCTTTACACTGCAGACATTCACCCATTCACACACACATTCACATGATGGCAAACTACAATTGTAGCCACAGCTGCCCTGGGGCACACTGAGAGGCGAGGCTGCCATACACAGGTGCCACCAGACCCTCTGACCACCATCAGTAGGCAAAGTGGGGTCCCGAAACGTCAAGGTGGGGTCCTGAAAAGATTTTCTGAATTAATGACATTTTTGCCTTAGTTGTTACAAAGGAGTGAGGTTAGTATGTTTAAAATGGATAAATGTAGTATAAAAATATTGTTACTATGCCCATGTTTAGTTGACCTGATACAAATGTTTATRATCCAGAAACAGTTGGGGGCACAGGTCTCTGCTACTGTTATTTTGTGGGTCAAAGGCTGAAAAGTTTMGGAACCACTGCACTTTGGTTCCCAAAGTTGGGCTTGGGACCCAATTATGGGTCATGAAGCACCTTGGATAATCTCCAGAAATCAATTTAAAAGGTAATAAAATAATTGCTGATGTAATATTTTCTCTATAATTATTACAAAAACACAAACTAACTATAAATAAGTATTTATATTTGTGTACAAACTGTTTAGATTTTCAAAAAGCCTGTGTTTTTAGGGTTATTAACAAAGTTCATGTACTCAGACCAGTACTATTTGGGGTCACAAGTTTTTGCCATGGATATTTTGTGGGTCAGAAGATACAAAGTTTGGGAACCACTGGGCTAAGGTGTCTTGCCCAAGGACACAACGACTGAGTCGACTGGACGGGGATCGAACCGGCGACAGGATTTGTTCCTGTGTACTGCTTTGGTCTGCAACTACGTAAATATTTTGGGTTTTTTCAAGGGTTATGTTTCTTTTTTCTAGAACGTGTGTCGACATAAAACGATGAGCCATGGTTTAATGTAGGTTTGGACCGATCATGCTCCCCGGATCCGAATCAACTTCAGCCAGACCTCCGTCTGGGCCTATAGTAGCTGCAGGCAGAGCAGCACGCAGCAGTCAGGTGTAGCAGGTACGAGGCAAACACGTTTAAATTAAAAACAGTATTTGTGCCAATAGGTTGTGAGTGGATTTTTTGTTTTGTTTTAGTGTGGATGCATATGAAGCCCAAAAGTCTGATTAACAAATATTTTCTTTGTTTCATATCTGTGCTTATAGCAGAATTCCCCTGATGTTGCAAAATAACACTTTTCTTTTTTCCACAAAGTTCAGTACCTGCACCCACTTGTTTAACACCAGTGCACTCATAAAGTTTGCTTTGTGTACCGAAACAAAACATTGATTTAGTTATGAACAAATACTTTTCATCAGATGCAACACCTTCCTTTGTTTAAAGCCTTTATGACACAACTGTCTGTACACTGTGCTTCTTTATAACCACCTGCAAACTCTTTTTCTGTCTAGGCAGGAGAAGGCGCGCGGTGCTACAAAACAGCATTCGTTGGCTGCAGCAGTGCAGATTGAAGACGAGATGATGCAGGCACAGCGGGACCAACATGTTCAGCTTCTTCTGGACGATGCATGGGAGGCCAGAGAGCAGGAGGCGATCCTGAGGAGGGACGAGGCGACCCTGGTGCTGGAGGAGCTGCAGCAGAACACCACATTCAATCAAGCATTCTTGGGGTGTTGGGGGACATTGCACGTGCGATGACGCAGAGGGATTTGTGAAACAAGCAATAATTTCTGCTTCTATACAGTTGATTGTTTACTCTTTTTTTTTTCATTCCCAATAAATGTTGTCTTAAATCCTTGCATTGCACTTCAGCTGTATTGGCTCTTAAGAATGAACAGTTTGGTGCATTTCTGTTTATATTAACATTAAGACTAAACCATTTGTGTTTATATTAACAGTAAGACTAAACAATTTCTATTATATTAATATTAAGACTAAATCATTTCTGTTTATATTAACATTAAGACTAAACCATTTCTATTATATTAATATTAAGACTAAATCATTTCTGTTTATATTAATATTAAAACTAAATCATTTGTGTTAATATTAATTTTAAGACTAAATCATTTGTGTTTATATTAACATTAAGACTAAACCATTTGTGTTTATATTTACAACTGCTTCTTGAAGTCAATGTCAGTGATAAGAGTGTGAATATATGGATTTTTACAACATTTTTATTGCTAAAT